TCATACTGCTGAGTAGATTTGGAGTAAGACCAGCTCCCGTCAGGGTGAGTGGTGATCATCGGGGCGCTGTACCTGCCCAAACTCCTGTCTGTCCTGTGGCATTTCACAGCCATCAAACTGATGAGACTCAGTAAAAAGATGACGGACACGCACACAATGGCGATCAGCAAATACAGATTTAAATCCGAGAAACTCTCCTCCTTTATCGGCGCGTGTCTGAATGGAGTCTTGAGGTCACCTGCGCTTTCAACAACCACAACATCAATAGACACAGTCGCTGACAGTGAGGGCTCTCCGTTATCACAAACCAAAATGACCAGCGGGTGAGTTTTCAGGTCATTGTCACTCATTCTCCTCTTAGTCCTGATCTCACCGCTGCTGGTTCCGATTCGGAACAGATTGTTTCCTTTGGGTTCAGAGATGTGGTAAGACAGCAGCGCATTGTAACCAGAATCTGCATCTACAGCCCTGATCTTGGCCACAAAGTAGCCCACATCAGCAGAATAGGGAATGTTCTCGGTGTTAACGGAACCGAGCTCGGAATAGGGCGCGAGAATCCCGGGACTGTTGTCATTCTCATCCAGGATAAAAACATTTACAGTCACGTTACTGCTGAGCGGAGGAACACCAGAGTCTGTGGCCTGAACTTTAAACTCAAACGTTTTTATATCTTCATAGTTAAATGACTTCATGCTCTCGATCTCTCCCGTCAATGAGTTTACTTTAAAGAGCGCTGAAACAGGACTACCAGTGACAGAGCTTTGCAGTAAAGAGTATGTTATTTGTGCATTTTCCATGATATCAGCATCAGAGGCCCTCACTGTGGATATAATGGAGCCCAATTTGCTGTTTTCGGGCAGATATGCATAAACTACAGAATTTGGGAAGCGAGGCGCATTGTCATTCACATCAGAGACCTGCACTTGTATTACTTTAGCTCTGGACATTGGCGGTGACCCTTCGTCTTCAGCAATGACTGTGATGCTATACTCTGTAACGTTTTCCCGATCCAGCACGCCATCTAAAGCTAATGAATAGTAGTTCTGAAAGGATGACTGTAATTTAAATGGACTGGAGCTGGCAAGGCGAACGCGTACTGCTCCGTTTTTACCTGAGTCTGGATCTGATACCATCACTAGGGCAATTACTGTTCCCTTTCCCGCGTTTTCCTCTACCGGGCTAAGAAGTGATGTTACAGTCACATCTGGGGGGTTATCATTAATGTCTAGGACCTCTATTAAAAGCTTAGTATGACCTGACATAGTCACTGGACCTTTATCGGTGGCTTGAACTCTGATTTCAAAAGCTGCCTTCTCCTCATAATCAATATCACCCTTAATTCTGACATCTCCACTTTGCGCCTCAATTTCAAACATCTCCAAAATATTTTGGGGTGTTCGATTGATAAAGGAGTAAATTATCTCCGCATTCAATCCTTCATCTAGATCTCGAGCCTGTAGTCTAGTTACTGTGGTGCCAATTGGCGCGTGCTCTGCTATGGAGACTTTATATAATGATTTAATAAAAACTGGAGCGTTGTCATTTGTGTCTATCACATTAACTTCGATCACTACGATTCCTGTCCTGGCAGGCGATCCGCCATCAACCGCAGTCACTGTGAACTCAAGCCGCGGAGTCTTCTCTCTGTCCAAAACCTTCTGAAGCACTAACTCGGCGAAGATAGTCTTATCAGTTTGAGTTTGTACATCTAAAGTGAAGTAATCATTAGATGTAAGTGTATAGGTTTTTACTGAATTCACTCCAATGTCTGCGTCATGCGCGCTCATATAAATGGTTATTAATTCTCCTCATCATCAGTGTCATTCAAATTAAACTACTGCAGCATGGAGGATGGAGTCTGTCAAACTGGTTAGACTTATGTAGACCAAAAACAAACAAACAATAAAAAAAGTATATTAAAATACAAAACTTTTTTCCAAAAAGATTTGAATAGTGCAGAGCAAAATGTTTATTTATTTATTTATGTTTTAGTTAAACATTATTTGGACAGTAATGCTATTATATATATATATATATATATATATATATTAAAAATCATTAAATTTAATGATTGTCATCAAATTCAATTACAAAATATAAAAGTGTCTGTATACTACACAAGTTTCCTTTTTAAATAATTAAACTTACACAATGAGTGTGCATTAAGGTTAAACTAAGAATCAAAGCACAGCATGCATGTACTCCTTTCTCTCAAACTTAATGTTTTCACTTACAGTATGTGCTCCTGCTCTTTTTACCGCAACCATGCAAACACACACATACACATAGAATTTCATAAAACCAGTGAAATCAAAATAATCTTATCTAATGAGCCAATTTATAAACAAGTGTGCATGTGAGAAAAATAAATCATGTAAAAGTGGGGCATCCTTGCTAAATATTTCACCGCATGATTCCTGAAGATGAGTGTGAGCAAGACAGAGGGAGAGAGAGATAGAGAGAGATAAATAGAGATGGAATTTACTTTCAATTTCTGTGTAATCCAGGGATTAGGTTCTGCTGGCAGCCTCCTATGTCCTATTTATATCCCCTCAAAAATGATTTCAAAAATGAATAATCATAATCTCATGCACTGGCAACAAAAATATGAAGATCACACTAGGCCACATAAATAGCAAGTCTTGTTGCAGAATCTTTTCTCAGAACTAACTTCACTTTTCTTTATTTTTATTAAATAATTATCAAGTCCTGAAAATACAAAAAAAATATGAAAATAAGTATCATAAGAATAAGTAAAAGTTGCAAATAAAAAAAAAAAGGTGATAAACATATAACCGAAAATGAACAAACTGTATATGAAATACTTGAATATTAATTAATGAAATGTGTAATTTTCAGTTCTATATACAGGTCTTAATAAATTTGGTCTTAAGTAATTGTTTTTTTGTTTTTTACATTTGCTTAGATTAAATATAGTGGAAGACACTTATTAGGAATAAAAATGGTAGGTAAAATAAAATAAGATAAGGCTTCAGCCTATACCTTTTCCAGTTAATATGTAAAATGATGTATACTTATTATGGAACTGTGAATGAGGGCCAGAATAAAAAGTAAAAAAATAATAATAATAATAAAAAAAAGGAACGCTTACTTACGATAAATATTCATATTACTCAAACATGGTTCAAGCAACACAGCATATACATTGGTGCACTGAGTTAATAGGTTCAATAACCGATGTTTAAATTGAAGTAAAATGAGCCTTGGATCAATTCTCAGTGTTCAATAACAGAGCATTAAAACTGTGACACTTAAATGTGCATGTGTAGAAACATTATTGAAATGAAGCATATTGAATACATAATACAGAGTTTGGTCATACTATGGCATATTCATTAACCAGAGGCTGAATCTGACCTTTCTGTGTCTGTGTGTACATACATGAAAAAACGAATTGCCTGAGGATGTGTGGAAGCAATGTGAACACCAGAGGGGGTGGTTGGATAGTGTGTGATTTCATCAAGGGTGGGGCTGTGATGAGATGTGTGTGCCTGTGTGTGTGTGTGTGTGTGTGTGCATGTGTGAGGGAGGGTCTTTCACATCTAAATGTGGTAAAGTGTAATCTGATGAATTAAAGATAGAGATAGAAGTTGGTGTATAAACCAGCATATTTATCATATAATCAGGATTCTGTAAGAGAAAAAGGCAGGTATGGTTATATACAAACATACATTATATATATGCTTTTGCCTGGGAAAGAGAGAGAGGAGAAAGGGGGAGGGGTGATGTCAGGCAGCAGAGAACCGGCTCTGCAGAGTAAACCTGTTGTCACGGAAACCGCATTACAGCAGGAGGGGGCTTTTCAGTGAGAGTGAGGCAGAGGGGCGATAATAGGGACATTGATCAAATGAGCTATAAATCACAGTGTTTCATCTTATGAATATTAACATTAAAAGGGAGTCATTAATATGACAGTCAGGATGAGGAAATTATAATGAGTCTCCCTGCATTTCTCTCTCTCACACAAACACGGTACATTCTGGAGAGCAGGTCAGCTCAAGCAGTGATGTGTTGCTACTGCAGCAGAGACACATGGTCCTGCTGACTTCTGTCACCTTCCCCACAGACACGCTTCTGCTGTGAGCCAAAAACACTGCTAACACACCCTATTGCATATTAAAGGGGTCTTATTATGTTTTTTCAACTTTAGTTAGTCTGTAATGTTGTTGTTTGAGCATAAAAAAGATCTGCAAAGTTACAAAGCTCAAAGTCCACTTCAAAAGGAGATATTTTATTTAACAGAAATCACTTTTCAAAAACTACAACGAATGACTCGTTTGGACTACAACACATATTTTCCGGGATTTGTGATATCACAAATATCGACGAATGGGACGAGACCTGGTTGAGCTGCACTAGAAGGCAACGAGTGTTATCACTATGTAGGGCTGAAACGATTAGTCGACATTATCGACAAATATTTTTGTTGTTGAGTAGTCGTTTGATCTCATATGACCTAATCATTAGTTTAGGTCCTAATGTAAGAGCCTGCAATCACGCGGTTTGACCAGTGTTGCACTGTAGCGCAAGACTGTAATTCAGCTCTCCTGGTGCAAATCAAGAAAAGAAGACGCAGCGGCAGCGCCAAACCTGATGGTGCGTCTCCACTGGCACGTAGCGAGCGCAGCGGAGCTAGCATTTCAATTAATTCCTATGGAAGCTGAGCTTAAACGCTTACGCGGTACATTATGGGATTGAAAGCGTTGCAGAGAAAGCGTTGAGAGCAGCCGAGAGCATCAAAAAGTTTGGGTATTCCTCGACTTTATACAAATATCGAGCGAAAAACGCTGGGCGACAACCAATCGCTGGGAAAAGAAGAGGATGAAACGCAAACAGGGTGTAAACATTGTTTTCAGAGGCGTGCTCTGCCCTAAATTTGACACGCCCCAAAGCAGTGGTGTTGTAGCGTTGCCAGCGGCACTGAGCGCAGATTTGACACTGTAGTGGAAACGCACCGTGAGGCTGCTAAGCAATGTTTGAATGAATATGTAAATATATACTGCACGCTTTCCTCTCAGTAACAAAATAAACACATCAAAAACTGACAGCGGTGAGAAAGCAGCAGTTTAAAACGCGTCTGATTACAGCGATGTGGATGTTTGCAGGAGCTCTGCTGTTCAGTACTCCAGTAAAGTCCAGTCATGTCACCTTTATTTATATAGTACTTTATGCAATAGATAGCCTTAAATCAAGCAGCTTTACAGTATTATTAAACATGAAAAACCAGAGTCAGAGTTGCTTTCAGTTAGAATTACAACTTGATTTTCTGTTATAAAGCAGCTCTCCAGTGTGGAGCTAGCAAAAGATAAAATATTTTTATTAGTGGGGAAAAACAATATTTCATTTAAGTTATAGTTTAGTTTGCAGAGATCAAAGTTTGATCTAGCTCAAGACTGTTTTGATTATCATAACCCTATAAGGTATTTTAAGAGAGATTATGTTGTGAATAAAATAGTTTATCCAAAAGTAAAACGTCTTATCACTTAACCTTTATTTTGTTTCTTATCCATATGATTTACAAAAAGAGATTTTAGGCAGAATGATGTATCATTCAGCTACTTTTTCATATAGCTAAATTAATTGTATAACTGTAATTACATAATATGGCTTTCAAAAGATTAAGTGATTACCTTAATTTATTTCTTAGAATATGTATAACTCAATATTTTAACTAATTGCAAAAGCTGAATAATCAATAAATGTCTGCTGATTAATCAGCGAAATAATCGACGATTAGTCGATTAATCGGTCGAATAATCGGCAGATTAATCTATTATCGAAATAATCATTTGTTGCAACCCTATCCCTATGTCGGAGACACGCTAGCGTCAACAAGGCAGACGCACTTAGAGTGGTTACAATCATCCGGGTTTAAATCGCGCTCAAATTGATTTGATTTTGACGCAATATTTACACTGAAGCTCGCAGGCGGCTATGGTAAGGGGCATGACATTTCCAGACTAGGCGCCGAGTGCTGCCAATCACAACACACACTGGTTATTCAAAAACATTAAAACCCATTATAAACAAGGCATTTGTTGCATCCAGTGGGGACATAATTACTGATTATAATAACTTATACTGTCTTTTTACGCGTTGCGTTGCATTGCATCGCGCCGCGTAAACATAAAACCCTGTCTGCATTTGTGATCGGAGAAATGACAAACAACAAGTGCTACTCTACACTGCCCAAAACTCGCATTTGAATCATTAGTGGCAAATGATAAAAGAAAACGTACTTACGTGAGTCAGAACTACCCACGTTTTAGTCTAACATTACTCTCCCAGGATCAGTAAACAGTCCTCCATAAAATGTGCTGGCGATCCACAGCACTAAGTTAAAGTATTTCCTCAGCGACCAGCACAGATCAGCTCTAGGCATGACGAAGCGGATAACCATTTTAGGTAGGTGTGGCTGACTCTTAACTTTTATAAAGAATGTCTCTTTGGATTTGAGACTTTAGTCTTTGCAACTTTACAGATCTTCTTTATGCACCAAGAGCTTGTAACACTCCAAAGAGAAAGGAAAAATTGAAATCGCATCATATGACCCCTTTAAACATTCAACAGATTACAATACCCCAGTATGGAATCACAATTAACCCAGTTTACATTCCTGGTGCTAATGTGAATTATTCATTGGTGCACATTATTCCTAAGCAACAAAATGTTTCTCTTTGTAATCTTTCATCAAAATGTAACAACTAGTTTTGCCTATGAAAGAACT